CATTTTCCCCTTGCCACAGAGCTTTAAAGGAGCAATTATAAGAAATTGCTGAAATAATGTAGGCCTCCATCCCTTAGCAGGTATATTTCAATCTGGGAAATCTTATAGCTACACTTGTCTACATCCTGACATCTTTACTTCCATGCTGGTAAAGATTTGTTCCTGCTGATTACCAGGTTGCCAACGTGGTTAGTTGGCTTTCTAGTTGACACAAAAAATCCAATTTTCTTGCAAGCTGTTTCCTTCCCCCCGCTTCCCACATACATGGGGAGAGGGAAAAACATTATCCAAAATCAAGGGTAGGGTGGTGGTGGGAAGTGGGTATGACATAGGAGATTTGGAATATTTTAGAAGTTGGAAATCCCTCTCAAAAATAGATGTCAGATGTAACTACAGTTGGATTAAACCAGAGACATATCTGGCTTATTCTCTCTGATGCACCTTTCTCAGGTATTCATTTTTAATTTGTGCTGTTTTCTTAGCTTTGCACACACATTGATCCTCACTTCCCCAATGCACTTTGCCCACTTCAATGAGAACAGATTTTTAACCATCCAGAAAGTTACATTTTCCTTAGCAGAAACCAAAGGTGAATCAGATGCAATAAATAAAAGTATTCCAATGCGTGCATAGGAAGAGGATGTGGATTTTCCTTAAAATTTTAAGGTAAATTGAGTGAGGTGAATGTTGATTGATTTGACAGCCTTGGAAATGGATGAATTCTTTCTATTGGGGAAAATGTACCCAGAAGCACTACATGCTTGCACAATATTGCTACCACAATATTTCTACTTCCTGATTTGGGAGGACCACCTATAGAGCTGTGATGTTTGTCCAGTTTCTAAGCCCATTTGATCTTTGGCTTTTCTGTTTAGACTGCCAACAAATGTGTTAACTGCTGTGGTTTTGGTGATGCAGTCCTCTGTCCACTAAGAAATGGATTGAGACCAGTAATTCATTTCACATTTCTGGAAGAGGGCATTTTCTCCTTCTAACAAAGACTTATTCTGTCCTTAGTTACCTCTGTGTGAACCTCATTGACTTAAATAGTGCTTCAAAGGATGTGATAGAATCTGGTTTGGTGTGGAACCATACATTGTGCAACCTGTTCTGAGGACAAAGATCTTACTGATTAAACACACAACTCTTATTCAAATGTTTAGAAAACTTCCAGTAGTAACCATGAGTAAAATTCTCAAAATTACAAGTCCTTTGGTTCCTCAGCTCCTATACCTAATATTTTTGCTAGTGGAAATTCTTAGTTGAACCCCACATAACATTTTCATCAGATTATTTCCATTGAAATACTCTATTTCTTCCAAGGTTAATAGTCTTCATAAAGTTTGAGTCAGAGATGCTCACACCAAGAAGGAAGGGAAGTGTGCTTTTTGTTCCATTGGTATGGCACACTTTTGTTTCAGTTGTCCTAATAATCTTGCCCTTTCCATGGTGTATGCTAGAGCTATTAACGCAGTCTCATCAGTCTGCAAGATTTTACTCCATGTCTAAGGTCAAATCTATATCACTTTCTGGCTGAACCAGGAATTATTGCTGTGAAACAAACCCTGTTTACTTATTCTACCTTGTTGCTGAGTCTGGGCACATATAGGTAGGGACCTACTGACTTCATGGCAAAAGTGGGCTGTGTGGCAGCTCCTTGAATCTTGCAGGCCCCCCTGCATACCCCCTTCTCCCTTGCTGATTGCCTGAGGGGCCCCAATGGTCCTGTTGTTTGTTGCTGACTGGCTGGGAGGCAAAAACAGTGCCATATTTAAAGCCACGTTTTTGCCTCCCTGTCTGTCAGGAATGAGTGGTGGGGCCCCTGTGTCAATCGATGGAGGGGGAGGGCCCATTGGGTAACCTGAAAGATTAAACCTGCAAGATTCACTGCAGCCCACTTCTGCTGTGAATTCAGCAGGTCTCTGTACATAGGCTAGGTACAGACATTAAAAAAGTTCAAGGTGGAATCAATTTAAGTTATATGGTTTTCTATAAGAGGTGTAGTTTAGATTGGTAGTGAATGGAACACACATTTCCCCTTTGTTGGAGGGAGAGGGGGGGAAATGTTTCTGCTATTTCTAAACCAGTATGCTGGATTTTTTTTGTTCTGTTGTGGGTATAGACCAGTTTGCTATCACTTGCACAAGCAAAACTGTAATGTCTGTACTTGGCCATAGAGTGAATGTTAAGTTTTACAGAGGCATCCTGGGGGTATGCCCAAACAGTGTTGGAAGGCAGGAAAGAAGTGGCTATCTTCAAAATGTTCTCCTAAGTGAGGTGCTTCTACTCTTAAATCAATAGGCAGAGCTATCATCAGAAAAGACAAATACCTTGCCTCCTTTAAAGAACAACTTTGCCTAATCAAAAGCATAGGATTGGTTGATTCTACTTTGACACAACATTCAGTTCACAAACTGCAATGGGAGGTTGCCACACCACACATGCTTTTTGACAAAATATTTATTTCTAAATGATAAGTAATAGAATAATGATGGCCACTCTAATATGTGGTGCATGTTGAGATCAGGCAATATAAAAGTAATTTATCTGATTTAAAGCAGACCTCATGCTGAGAGGAAGCCATGATCTTTCTTCCTTGCATGTGTGTGGTGAGTTGATGGCAGTATGCATACTGCCAATGTGCATGTAAGCAATTTGTATGTGCATGTAACCAAAATGGTTATAGAAACATAAATTGCTTTCTATGATGAGATGACTGGCTCTGTGGATATAAGAAAAACAGTGGACCTGATATACCTTGACTGTAGCAAGGTTTTTGATATGGTCTCCCACAACTTTCTTGAAAGCAAGCGAAGGAAGTATTGATTGGTTGAATGGATTGTAACTTGGATAGAAAGCTGGCTGGGTCACTGGGCTCGACAAGGGTAGTGATCAATGACCCAATGTCTAGTTTGCAGCTGGCATCAAGTGCAGTGCCCCAGGGGTTGGTCCCCTGAGGCCAGTATTCATTAATATCTTCATTAATGATGTGGAAGATGGGATGGAGTGCACCCTCAGCAAGTTTTAGATGACACCAAGCTGCGGGGAGTGGTAGATATGCTGAAGGGTAGGTCTAGGATTTAGAGTGATATAGACAAATTGGAGGATTGGGACAAAAGAGATCTCATGAGGATTAACAAGGACAAGTGCAAAGTCCTGCACTTAGGATGGAACAATCCCATGTACCAATACAGGCTTGGGACCAACTGGCTAAGCAGCAGGTCTGCAGAAAAGTACCTGGGGGTTACAGTGGAAAATAAGCTGGGCATTGGTGACTGCTGCCTCCTGAGTCTGGGGGGGCACCAGCAGCCTATCTCCAACTGTGGGGAGGGGTCCTCCAGTGGATGATTGGCGACTAAACCGGAAGCGCTGCCAGTGCTTCTCAGGAGGGGCACCAGCCAGTGTTCCCCACTCCCTGGCCAGAGAGGGCCAATTTCAGGGAGGACACATGCCCCTCCCCCCCATGCATAACCGATGAAGCTGGGTATGAGTCAACAGTGTGCTCTTGTTGCCAAGAAAGCTAACAGCATACTGGGCTGCATTAGTAGGAGCGTTGCCAGCAGATTGAGGGAAGTGATTCTTCCTCTCTATTCTGCACTGGTGAGGCAACACCCAGAGTATTGTCCAGTTTTGGGCCCCCTGCTACAGAAAGGATGTGGACAAGTTGGAGGGAGTCCAGCAGAGGACAATGAAAATGGTTAGGGGTCTGGGGCCCATGACTTCTGAGGAGAGGCTGAGGGAACTGGGCGTATTTAGTCTGCAGAAGAGAAGACGGGGGGCATTTGATAGAAGCCTTTAACTACCAGAAGGGTGGGTCCAAAGAGGACGGAGATGGACTGTTCTCAGTGGTGGCATGACAGAATGAGGAACAATGGTCTCAAGTTGCAGCCAGGAAAGTTTAAGCTGGATATTAGAAAAAACTCTCACTAGGAGGGTGGTGAATCACCGGAACAGGTTACCTAGAGTGGCAGTGAAATCTCTGTCCTTGGAGGTTTTTAAGACTCGACTAGACAGCTTTGGCTTGGATGATCTAATTGGGGATGGTCCTGCTTTGAGCAGGGGGTTGGACTAGATGACTTCCTGAGGTCCTTTCCAGCCCTAATTTTCTATGATTCTATGAAATTAAGACAGTCCTTCTGAATAAAAGACCTGACAAATTTCAATGAACTTTGGTTACTAAGTTTGTTTAAAAATTTGAGCAAATTCAGTGAGTGGGATTTACAGGGAACTCCTGTAAATTTTAGTTGCTTTCCTTAAACTGATGGTTCTTTTACCCAAACCTATTCTTTCCTCCCTAGTTTTAAACTGTTACAATCTCCACTTGTCCTTGTAATTACTGCTCTGAATAGTTTCCTTTTGGTGTTCAGTGAAAATCATAATGTAACTGTGTGTTCTTCTTGTGTGCTTTAAGAACTCCCAAGATGCAGATTACATTTTAATTCAAACATAACTGCAAATATTTTTCAAAGCTTATTATGGGTTTGCAAATTAGATGTTTGGTAGCTTCGATTTACTGAATGCATTTTGGGCTGGGAGCCATCCAAGAAATTGTGTGCTTAGACAACCACATTGCAAACGTGGTAGAGGAAAGCAAGGGGGAAGTGAAGTTTGCCTCAGTCTACATAAATTGTAGTCTTCAAATAATCCACTTCTTTGACCAATATGTAAAAAGAATTTCCCTCTATCTTGGTGACCCAGCTGCTGGATATAAGGTAGTGTCAAATTCTTCACAGAGCATTACATTAAATATAAGTAAGCAATAATAAGCTTTAGATTGCCAAGTAAATTTTTACGATGTATTGAATTTTCTGCATACACACTAGTTAATTAATTTTCAGTTTATGATTCTTACCTTTACTTAGCTCTTTATTTGTTAGTTGTTTTTTTTAAATAAATGTGCTCCTGTTTTCCCACCCCTTGGTGTTTAACTACTTAATGAGTAATTCGACAAAGTAAAATGATGTGTGCTATGACTTCTCTCAGTACACCCTGTTACAATAATGGCTGAAGGGAATGGGAAAGCACCCTCAGCTTTGAACTTTCTGCTTAAGCAATATGGAACTCAGGGCCAGATTTCTGCCTCATTCAATTATGCTGATGAGTATTTTTCTCTACAAGTAAAAATGTTCTGGTAGTGTTCCATTTTTAATTTGCTACTAAACAAAGAAACAAATGCTTCTCTCCTATCCCCCTTCCCCTCCAATAAAAAAAAAAAAAAGAAGCAAAAACCTTGTTGGGGTTATCTGTAGAAGAGATTTGAGAAGGAGAGAAATTAAGTTATGAATTGTAGTTTAACAAAATACAATATTTACAGCTTATGTTTTTCAATTCCCACAGGAAATTGTTCTGGTTGTATTTTTTGGTGCTGAATATGTGGTGCGGCTATGGTCGGCAGGTTGCAGAAGTAAATATGTTGGCTTGAAGGGAAGAGTACGTTTTGCCAGAAAGCCAATATCAATTATTGGTAAGAGTCCTATTTTTGACACTTCTCTGTTTAGTATCTAGTTTAAAGAGCAAATTTTGAGTTACTGCATGAGAACATAACGATAGACTTGAATTCTTTTGTCTTTCTTAGTCTGTCATTCTCTTCAACTTGGCTAACTTGCCTGTTTGGGGCAGAGACTCTCTTTCACTATGTGTTGGTACTGTCCCCAGCTCAGTAAGCTCTGAGCTCAGTTGGGCTAGGTGGTACTATAATACTAATAAATTGTAGAACTAATATTGAATTTCATGAAAGAACACTTTATGGATTTGTCTTCTGTCTATGCATAACACTAATTGATCAGGGATAATCCTATCCATATATTGTTTCCCTGGTGGGGAGAAGAGGGAGCAGCAGTATCTGTATATTCCTGTAGAGGATAGCTAAGATGGCGTGGGGAATTTCCTTGTGGGAGAATCTTTCCCCCTACTTTTGGATATCTTTAGTCACATGGTCACTGGAACAGGGAAAGTGGTGTAGCCCCATTAAGGGCAGGATTTTTGTAGCACAGGCAACCAGCAGAGTGGAGGTTAAGGAAAAGTTCTATGGTCAAGTCAGCTGACAGAGGATTCACACAACCAGAAAGGAGCAGGACTTCAGGACTATGAGCCAGAGCAGGGAGGTAGACCTGGGAAGCAGTGGGGTGAAGAAGCCTTGCTTTGAAATGGCTGATACTGATGGTTGCCTAGCAGGGCGCTTTGGGAAAACAACCTGAGGGACCTGATTCAGGGCCTGGAAGAAGTATGATAGGCAGCCAATGGGCTGGGTGTTTGTATTGCTGCCAAAAGGCTTACATTTGTGTTTTTGTATTTTAACCAGTAGTTCTGGTTGTACTAGAAATGGGTAGTTTGGAGGTCCCATTAGTGCCTGAGGGTCACGTGACTGCCTTGAGCCCTGCCAGGGGTCAGGATCAAGGTGTAGACAGGGTCTTGGGAGTCCAGTACTGCCCAGGAAGGGTAGAGATAGCTCAGAGGAGGTTTGAGCTTGGAGTCAGAGGACTTAGAGCC